ATCATCGTTATTTTTGAGATTGGCTTCCCGACATTGGGAAAGGTCTCCCCCCAGTACCTCCTTTTCCAGGAAGCCTTCCGTGATTTCTCACAAGGGGCCCTGCCCGTGCCTGTGGCCCCTCACGTGTAGCCTCCTCCCCGGGCGTGGGCATTGCCTGCTCACCTGCTGGTCTCTCCCGCTGGGCTGGGAGGTCCTCAAGGGCACAGACCTGAATCGGTTCGCCTTGCCTTCCTCAGAGCCCAGTATAGCTGCCAGTGTGTCTCAGGCCTCCGGAATCATCTGCCCACCTGAATGGAACGAGCCTGGGAGAGCAGATAAGGCAGGTGTATAATTAACGAATATATGGCAGGGTGTATATGTTAACAGCCTGGTGACAGGGTAGAAACCATAAATGCTGAGAGTCCCAATCTGGTTTCAACTTACCTCCTGCCTCCTCCCCTACCGCTCCCCTCCACGTTCCCTGCACTCCTGCCTCCTGGTTGACACACCTGCCCCAGGACGCACTCTGAGCCTCAGCCTGAGCCATGCAGCGCCCTCACCTTGGGATGTCCTTCCTGCCCCTTCTTCCATGCACACTGTGTTAGGTGATGAGATTTGCACACACCGTGCTCACGCCTAAGCCTTGGGAGCCTGTCTTCCCTACCTGCCCTCTGCACCTTCCCGTTCTTCCCTCTGCCGTCGAATAAAACCCACAAGCTTTTTCCACAGAATCGTTGTTGTTGGGTTTTTCTGGGTCTTTGTTTTGTTTTCTTTTGTTTTTTTTAATTTATTTATTTATCAGAGAGAGAGAGAAAGCACAAGCAGCAGGAGTGGCAGGCAGAGGGAGAAGCAGACTCCTCGCTGAGCAGGGAGCCCGATGCGGGACTCGATCCCAGGACCCCGGGATCATGACCTGAGCCGAAGGCAGACGCCTAACCGACTGAGCCACCCAGGCGTCCCTGTTGTTGTTTTTTTTTTAAAGTCAGGCACTTTGAGGTATAATCCATATGCAAATGCATAATTATATCACAGACACCTACACCATTTTTCTATACGAGGTGAAATTTGCCCTTTCTAGCACATGGTTCTGCGGGTTCTGACAAATGCAAACAGACAGTCGAGATACAGGACGGATCCATCAGCCCTGAAATTCTCCCGCGACATTTGTCTGGTTGCTGAGGTCCGAGGGCAGCGAGGCACTTAACATGTCAGCACATTCGTGTCTTTCTCTTTAAAAACAAAAACAAAAAGGAGTGCACAGAACTCCACAATGTGGATGTATCAGAGTTTATTTCAACCAATCAATGGTTGAGGGGGTTGGTGAACATTTAGGTTGTTTCCAGTGTTTTCCTATTACAAACAAGGAAATGAGAGGAAAGATGAATGTTCCAGTTGAATCCTTGTGCACGCAGACCAACTGTCTTCCGCTAGGGTAGACACTAAAACGACTGATGGCTCTTAGGGCATGTGCATTGTTCCCTAATATTTTATTATGAAACATCTCAAGCATATGGAAATGTTGGCGGGGGAGAGCCCGGTGGATACATGAGTAGCCCCTGGCTACATTCTACAATTGGTATTTGCTATATTTATTTTATTACAAATATATCCATGTATCCCTCCCTCTATCTCAGCTGTTCTGATCCAGGGACAAATTTGCCCCCGTTGGGGGACATTTTGCAATGTCTGGAAACAGACTCTTTTATCGTGACGACCTGTGTGTGTGGGAGAGGTGCTGGTCCACATCCTACAGTGCCTGGGACGACCCCCACAACAAAGAATGACCTGGCCCCAAATATCAATAGTGCCAAAGCTGGGAAACCCCGCTGCCTATCCACTCATCAGAATACTTTGCAGACTTTAGACACTTCAATTCTAAACACTTCATCACACACTTTATTAGCTAGAGTTCATTCTCTGTTTATGGTTCCCTTTTGAGGTAGAATTTACAAACAGTAAAATACAAAGCTCCTAAATATACCATTCCATGAATTTGGACAAATATATATACAACTATAAGAAAATACATAGCTGGAGTGCCTGCCTGGCTAGCTCAGCCGGTAGATGGTGTGACGCTTGATCTCAGGGTTGTGAGTTCGAGCCCCATGTTGGGTGTAGAGATGACTTAAAATCGTTTAAAAAAAAAAGAAGGGGGTGGGGGGATGGGTTAGCCTGGTGATGGGTATTAAAGAGGGCACGTACTGAATGGAGCACTGGGTGTTATACGCAAACAATGAATCATGGAACACTACATCTAAAACTAATGATGTAATGTATGGTGATTAACATAACATAACAAAATAAAATTTTAAAAAAAAGAAGAAAATACAGAACATCTCCACAGCCCAAGAAGTTACCTTTGCTCCTTCCCTGTCAATCTCCACCTTCATGCCCACAACCCCACCCCAGGCAACTACTATTCTGATTTTTATCACCATAGATGAGTTTTGTTTGTTCTAGATCTTTTTATAAATGGAATTCTAGTGTAGGTGATCTTTTGTGTCTGGTTTCCTTTACTCCACAAGATGCTTTTTTTTTTTTTAAAGATTTTATTTATTTATTTGAGAGATAGAGAGCACAAGCAGGGGGAGGGGTAGAGAGAGACAGAGAAGCAGGCTCCCCGCTGAGCAGGGAGCCCGATGTGGGGCTCAATCCTAGGACCCCAGGATCATGATCTGAGCCAGAGGCAGACGCTTAACTGACTGAGCCACCCAGGCGCCCCCCGCGAGATACTCATCCATGTTATTGCATGAGTCAGTAGTTTGGTCTGTGTACTACTCCTCTGTATGGATGTACCCATGGGTTTATCCATTTTTCTGCTTGTGGACACCTGGCATATTTTCAGCTTGGGACTATTGTGAAGAAAGCTGCTATCAATATTCTTATACCAGCCTTTTTGCAGACGTATGTTTTTATTTCTCTTGAGGAAAAACCTAGGAGTGGAACTTCTGAGTCATGGAGTTGGTGTGGGTTTAATTTAGAAGAAAATGCCAGACCTTTTCCCAAGGTGGCTGTATTAGCTTGTCATTGCTTCTGTGACAAATTCCCACAAACTCAATGGCTTTAAACGGCACAAATGTACTACCGTCTAGATCTAGAGGTCAGATGTCCAAGGTGGGTCTTCCAGGGCTAAAATCAAGGTGCCATCAGACCTGTGCCCCTTTCAGGAGGTTCTAAGGGAGAATTTGTTTCCAGCCCTTTGCAGTTTCTCAAGGATGCTTTTATTCCATGGCCTGACTGCTCCAACCTCTGCTTCGGCTGGCACATTTCCTTCTTCTGACTCTGACCTTCCAGTCTCCCTCTTATAAGGACCCTTGCGATGATACCCAAGATAATATCCAGGATGATATCCAGGATAATTGCCCCAACTCACGACCCTTATCGAATCTCATCCACAAAGTCCTTTTTGCCACGTAAGGAGATATTCACAGTTTCTGGAGATTAGGATGTGGACATCTTTCTTATTAGATTATTATTATTATTACTAGATATTATTATATGATTAGATATCATTGTGAGGAGAGGAGAGGAGAGGAGAGGAGAGGAGAGGCTTGTCTTTATATTCCCACCAACTGTGTTTGAGAGTTCCGGCTTCTCCCCATCCTTGGGACATTTAACACTGTCTAATATTCACCATTGTGGTGGGTGTGTTGTGTCTCATTGTGGTTTTCAATTTGCACTTCCTTGATGACTAATGATGTTGAGCATTTTCTTCATGTGCTTATTGGCCACTTGTATTTTCTCCTTAGTGAAGTGTCTATTCAGATCTTTGGCCCATATCTGAACCAGGTTGTTTGTCTTTTTGTCACTGAGTTCCAGGAGGGATGCGTGCCTTTTTTTTTACTTGACTCATCCACTTTATACTCCTGACACTCACACAGGAAGTTCCCAATTTACCCCTCTTTTTTATTCTTCTCTCCTTCACCTCCCGCTCCCCTGCCACCTCAGCAATCCTTAAGGCTTTGTGCCTTTGGGGAAAACAAGGCAAATTTTTACACTTCCTGGGGGGGCGGGTAGGTTTAGGTTTAGGATCACACTGTCCGACAGACGTGGTAGCCACCAGTCATATGAGTCTGTTTAAGTTAAATGAATTATAATTAAATAAGATTGAAAATTCATTCCTGGAGCTCCTGGCTGGCTCAGTTGGTGGAGCGAGCAACTCTGGATCTGAGTCATGAGTTTGAACCCCACGTTGGATTTGGCAGTACCCTTTAAAAAAAATTCAATTCCTCAGTCTTGCTAGCCATATTTCAAGGGCTCAGTAGCTGCATGAGGCTGGTAGCTACCATTTCCAAGGCACAGATAGGCAACATTTCCATCACGGAAAATTCTAGAAGTATCTACAGGGAAACCAACCCATCTCTTGCAGAAGTAACTATATTTCCTAAGATTACACGGATGTATTATTGTGCCAGACAACTGCCTTACCACTGGGGGTGAGGAAAGGAAGAAATAAAGAAGAGGCAAGAATGAGGGAAAAAACATCCAACCATAATAATAATTGTCTGGCACTTGGTAGGTACTCATTACGTTAAAAAAAATACACACAGAACTGCCAGCTAATGAGTATTTACTGAGTGCCAGGTACTTTCTTGACCATGTTATCTGACTTATGTTTATTCCCAGGGAAATAAGAGGAGCAAGAGAGAAAGACATTCCAGCCAAGCCCTTTCTTTTCCAAATAGCAAAGGGATTAACTCTTCAGTTCCACACACCTCTTGGGGCCAGCCATCCGGGAAGTCTTTCTTTCTCCCTCCCTCCCTCCCTCCCTCCCTTCCTTCCTTCCTTCCTTCTTTCCTTCCTTCCTTCCTTCCTCTCTTTCTTTCTTTTTTTTTTTTTTAGGGAAATCTTTCTTAAATGTTCCATGCACATTGGGGATCCCAGCTGGCTCAGTTGGAAAAGCATGCGACTCTTGATCTTGGGGTTGTGTGTTCAAGCCCCATGTTGGGTGTAGAGTTTACCAAAAAAAAAAAATGTGCCATCGACTTACACTAAAATGGGGTTCGTTATCTTTCCTGCCAAACCTGCTATAATACCTGTACTCTCCCTCTTAGTAAATGGCCTCTCTGTATATCCGTGTATCTAGGTTAGTTAACAGGGGCACTGCCTCTCTCCTCCTTGCTCAACCCTCCCAGCAGCGCACCCCCTGCCCTTCTCACCATTCCCTTGGCCACGGCCTCAGTTCAGGTCTCCTCCTCTCCATCTTGAACCCTTACCCTATTCTCCTCCCAGGCCTGCAGGCTCTCTCCCCTTTGGACTGTCCCTCATAGGGCCCCAGAAAGTCTTTCTATACCCAGAGCTGATCCTGATCATCCCCTGCTCACAGTCCTCTCATGGCTTCCCAGTGTTTCTAGAACAATAACCCAGACCTTCATCTTGGCACTGGAAATGGTCTCTTTCATCTTTGCACAAACACTGCTCCCATTACCCAGAATTCTCTTCCTCTTCCTGGGTGAACTCCTATTCATCCTTCAACACCCAACTCAAATATCCCTTCTTCCAGGAAGCCTTCTCTGACTTCCTCAGACAAACCAGTACACACCCCCTGCACCTCTGCAATACCCTTCAAGACCTTAGTCACCCGCTGGTCTCTCTCTCTTGTGAGTTCCTGGCCACCTTTCAATCTTCCTCATGAGAGTATGACGTTCCAGCAGGGAAAAGTCTTACTCATCTTAGTCACCACAACATCTTGGGAAGGACCTGGGCATTTAGTGGGTGCTCAGTAAATGTGTGTTGGGAAAAATAATAAATAATAGTTAGCATCAGATGAACCCTGTATAAAAAATAGGAAGTTTACAGAGGAGACACTAGAAAGACTGTGCCTTAGGCAAGTGATCAAAACTAATATGATCGGTCATGGGACCTCCCAACATTGTGGACCTCCTGATGTCATGCACCAAGAAGGACATAGCAACACTTCCACAGTGTTCCTGCCCAAAGTACATAACCTGAATCTAATCATAAGGAAAACATCAAACAAATCCAAACTGAGGGCCATTCTATAAAATAAATGGCCAGCACTTCTCAAAAGGGTCAAGGTCATGAAAGACAACGAAAGACAGAAGCATCACAGATTGTGATGGAGACTAAGGAGACATGACAACTAATTGTGATGTGAGATCCTGGATCAGAAAAAGAACAGGACTGGGATATTGGTGAAATCTGAATAAGGTCTGTAGGTTGGTTCATAGGCAATTTACAAGGTTAATGTCATGGTTTTAATCATTTACTGTGGTTATGTAAGGCATTAACACTGGAGAAACTTGGGTGAGAAATTATGGGAATTCTTCACATTATTTTTGCAACTTTTTTGGTGCTATCTGAAATGATCTCAAAATGATAAATTAGGGCGCCTGTGTGGCTCAGCCAGTTGGGTGTCTGCCTTCGGCTCGGGTCGTGATCCCACGGTCCTGGGATCGAGTCCCGCATCGGGCTCCCTGCTCAGCGGGAGGCCTGCCTCTACCTCTCCCTCTGCCACTCTCCCTGCTTGTGCTTTCTCTCTCTTTCTGTCAAATAAATAAATAGAATCTTTAAAAAAATGATAAATTAAAAGAAAATGAGCCACATGTGGCAAGAACTTGACACACACCATCTTGGTCTAACCCTCTCGATACCATTGTCTCAATTTTGCCAATGTAGGAACAGGGTCAGAGAGAAACAAGTGAGGGGCAGAACTGGGGCTTGAACCCACAGCATCGTGTTCCAGTGCCTGCATTCTTAAAAATCCAACACGAATTTTTGAGCACCTACTCAGGGCAGGGAATACCACCACGAGCAACACAGAGAGTCTCTTTCTTCTGGATCTCACCTTCTGGGGGTGGGGGAGATGGACAATGAACAAGTAAGCAATAAAATATATGATATATGATATGATATCAGGTGGTGATAGTTTTTTTAAAACGCTGAGCAAGGGGGTAGAGAGAACACAGTCAGGAGATGAACTCTGAGAACAGGAAATGGAAGTACAGCAGAGGCAGACATTTTCAACCTCTGAGCGTTGGTTCCCTGCTCTTCCCCACATATCTGGGTTTTACCCATCTGGAATTGCTCACTAGAGTCACCGTAACCAGCTCCACAAACTGGGTGGCTTAGACAACAGACGTGTTTTGTCCATGGTTCTGGAATCTAGAAGCTGAAAACCAAGATGTCGGCCGGGTGGGTTCTTTGTGAGGCTCTGAAGGAGAATCTGTACCAGGCATTTCCCCCAGCTTCTGGCAGCTTCGGCTTCAGGCGTTCCTGACTTGTACGTGATGTTTTCTCTGCCTTCACGTGGTCTTCCCTCTGTATGTGTGTGTCCGTGCCCAAGTTCCTGCCCCCGCCCTTTTAGCTATCTCTACCCCCAACATGGGGCTCGAACTTACAACCCCGAGATCAAGAGTCACAGGCTCCA